TATCTATGGAGCTACACACACACACACACACACACACACACATCAGTCTGATAAATCCGAGCGAACATGTCTCTACAGAATATAAACCTCCATCCCAGTAAGAGCATGGCACTTTGCCGCTACTGTACTGTGTTTCAGAGCGAGCGACAGTCAGTCAGTCACCTGTTGAGGTCTCTCATCATGAGGCTCTGGAAGTCGTTGGTGGCGAGGCGGCTGAAGGTGGGCCGGGTCAGGTGGCGTTCGGGCGGCTGGTGACTCGCCTGACGGTGTAGCTGTGGGTTCCTCAGCGCCATGCTGATGTCATTCAGTAACCGCGGCAACGGCCCCAGCTTCAGGATGGCGTCCTGAAGAAACGCAAACACTTGAGCGCTCCGAGACTCCCACACACACATGAAGACGAGCGGCCCGTACCTTACTCAGCTGCGCCATGACCTCCCACAGCAGACTGTGCAGGATGGAGAGCTCGCGGCCCAGGTCGATGTAGCCCTCAAACGCCCCGGCGTTACTCACACACTCCAGATTAGAGATCTCGTACAGGAACTGCTGCATGGAGCCCCACTCCATCTCCAGGAACTCATTCATGAAGCCCAGATAGTCCTCCTTCCCACTGAACCTGCAGAGAACACACACACAGCAGTGCGGGAGAGAGAGACAGAGAGAGAGAGAGAGAGAGAGAGAGAGAGAGAGATATGAAGTGCACTTCGAACTTTGTAACTTTGCAGATCTTTTTTATGCTCAAACAGCAACATTACAGACTAACTAAAGTTGAAAAAGTGAAAAAGCATAATAGCACCCCTTTAAAAAACAAAAATGACCAACAAACAAAATTACTAAAACCTTAACTTGAATTAAAATTTTTTTTTTTTTAAATAAAACTAAATTCAACAAGTTAGCTAGAACTATAATAGAAACTATATAGAACTATGTCTAAAAAAAAAAAAAAAAACATTACTAAAACTTCAACTAAACTTAAAAGGAAAAAAAAATATATAAAAATTCTACATATTAATTACAACTACAATAGAAAAACTACAATCACAACTACCTAGAAATATTAAAATAAAACTAATGAAAATGACCATCACACAACAAACATATTAACTATTTCCCCGCCATTGACGAGTTATCTCGTCTTTTACAAGAAAACGCTTCCCCGTGTTTTCACTGTTATACACTCGGGGGCGCTATTACACAGCTTCTGAACGAGTACAAAACCTCCCGAACAAAAACACGTGTACAGGACGAAGAAACGAGCGATCTCTTATGTAAACAGATGCATATGAAAAATAATGCGATCATCAGCAATACAGCATATAAATGAAAACTGCATAATGTTACGGAGTAAAATGTTGATTCAGGACGTGGTATATGTCTGTGCAAGCTTTGGAGGTGTTGATGGAAGCGATTTACGGGATTTATGCTTTGATAATCGTACTGAATATTACCCAGATGTAGTTTTTGATAAAAATGTGATTCTCTCACCTTTTTGCTCAAATAATGCATTTTTTATGAAATCTACCTATATTCAAGTGTTGATAAAAAAAAAAGAATGCTTTAAGCTAGAATAAAACAGATTTCTTTGTTTAAAAGTAGAGGCTCTGATCTTTATTTTGGTGGATTTGGTTTATTTGGTGTATTCATACAGCAAAATATACTGGAGGCCATCTAATTTTAGTGAAAATCATCAAAATCGCTGGCGGTGGCTGGCAATTTTTTTTCAAAAATGCTGCGGAGTAAAATGTTGATTCAGGACGTGGTATATGTCTGTGCAAGCTTTGGAGGTGTTGATGGAAGCGATTTACGGGATTTATGCTTTGATAATCGTACTGAATATTACCCAGATGTAGTTTTTGATAAAAATGTGATTCTCTCACCTTTTTGCTCAAATAATGCATTTTTTATGAAATCTACCTATATTCAAGTGTTGATAAAAAAAAAAGAATGCTTTAAGCTAGAATAAAACTGATTGTTTTGTTTAAAAGTAGAGGCTCTGATCTTTATTTTGGTGTATTGCATATTCAAATATTCAAACAGCAAAATTTACTGGCGGCCATCAAATTTTAGTGAAAATCATCAAAATCGCTGGCAGTGGCTGGCAACTTTTTTCAAACATGCTGGCGGGGAAAGAGTTAAAATAGAAAGTAATTTAAATATTAACTAGAACTATAACAGTCAGACTATAACAGCACTGGTGTGGAGGGCTAAATGGAGATGGAAGTGAGGTGGGCGTGTCATGTGACGCGTGAGGATGATTGGATGACGCTGGACTCTAGTGACTGACTTGGAAAAGCTGGCCAGGCTCTGCACCACCTTGGCGATGAGCGTGAGGGTTCGAGAGGTGCGTTCGGACGGATACTCCTGCGTCAGACTGAACAGAGACGGGGACATGATGGCGGGACACAGGAAGCGCAGGAAGAGAGACGAGCTGATGAGACGGTCAGCGATGTCCTCCCGGCCGCGCTCAGCACAGCGCACACGCCACGACGCAAACACCTCCTTCAGCTCGCGAGGAAACACACTGCAGAGAGAGAACACATCCCATCATGCACTGCCATCCCTGCTGAACTGAAGTGAGTCTTTCAGCTCCCCCTGCTGGACAAGAGCGGTTTACATGTCAATATGGTTTCTAGTCTTTTACTATCTGGTTCAAGCCTGGTCTAGATGGTGTGTTAACCAGTGTGGCCGAGGCTGACCTGGTAGATCAGTTACAATGAAACCAGATTGTTTCAGAAATGGAGCAAGTTATTGCATCCTGATGAAAGATTATGACGACAAACGTGCTTTTCTTCAGAGTAACAGAACAGCTGATGAATCATTCACAGGAACATGAATTAAGAATTTAAATAAATATTACGATAAATAAAAATGGTAAAAATAAACACTTACTAATATTTAATAAAATCATAAAAAAACAACAATTCTAAAATAAAAATAATTAAAATGCTACTAATTAAATCAATTAAATAATTAAAACTAGTAAAAACGTACTAAATAGCTTCAAAATAAAAAGAACTATTCAAAAAACTCTTACAGGGTGTCTACAGATATGAACAAGTTAAATTTAAGACTTTTTACGACCTTTTTAAGACCACCTTATGTGAAATTTAAGACCAAGCCTGTGATGGAAAAACACATTATATTACATACATATATGTAATATTTAACACGTTTAAATGTAAAAAGAAAACAAAATATCATCGCTGTCAAAAATGCTATTTGTTATTACGATATACAGTGAACTTTTCATATCAGCAGACAATATCCCATACAAAATATTCCCACAAAATGCAATAAATAATGTTATGAGATTAATGTTGTAAATAAAATTTTGAACATACAAATGAGAAATGCTGGGGAAAAATGCATACTTTTAAGCATGAGACTAAACCGCCAGTAGGTGGCGGTAAGTCACTTAGTACTCTTGATGGACACTCACTGGGTCCATCAGACTGGAGAAATTTTTGTGGTAATGTGACCAGAAATATTTAAGACCTACTGAATCTGAATTTAAGACATTTTAAGACTTTTTTTAACTTTATTTAAGACTTTTTAAGGACCCGCGGCCACCCTGTCTTACTAATTAACTAAATCATAAAAATGTTCAATTGAAATAAATATACAAAAACTAAAATAACACACTTAATAAAAATGCATTAAATCATAAAAATGTACAAATTAAAAAACAATTAATTTCAAAATAAAACGATAAAAAAACTTGTTTTGTGTGAACCCTTGGTATTTCTAACTGACTTGATCCTAATGATCTGAGTGGTCTGTTAGGTTTATATTCAGTGAACATATCTGCTATGTATTTAGGTTTCATCAATGCATTGGCAGAGGGAGTCAATGGGGCTGTAGTCATTTGGAGATAAGGCTAGGTAAATCTGGGTATCATCTGCATAGCTGTGATAGGCGATTTGGTTCTTTCTCATTAACTACATCATAAAAATGTACAATTGAAATAAATATTAGAAAACAATTAAAATAACACATTAAATCATAAAAATGTAAGAAAAATAAACAATTTAAAAATAAAAAGATTAAAATAAACGACATAAAAAATTTATATTAAGTACATTATAAAAATTTAAAATAGAAATAAATCATTTTAAAATAAATGTAAACAAAATAAAATGAAATAACTTATTAAACAATAAAAATGCACAATTTAAAACAAATCAAAATGAAACATTTACTATAAAAAGATGAAATAATGTATGTTTAGCTTCATGTCATGTGACCATTAACTGACACCAGAGATCCGTGAACAAGGGAGTGTGTGCTAGAAGACAGGAACTGACCAGTGTGAGTTGATGATCTTGCAGAGCGCTAGTTCGCAGCACATGCGCAGGTTAGCCTGATGATCCGACAGCACCGACGGAGGCGTTCGCATCGGATCCACCTCACAGTTCTCCTCCGACTCGTACAGCGCGCGGATGAACTCTCCTGCAGAGCATCACCATCACCATTATCCTCACACACACACACTCCCTCTCACACACACACTCTCACTAGGGGTGTGCGATATTGACAAAAAATTATATCTCGATATTTTCTGGGATCTTATCGATAACGATAATTAGACGATATTTTGCTGAGTGTGTTATTGTGCTGTGGTACCTTAAGGACTGCCGAAGACAGCTGACTCCTAATGTTTTTAATATTCTTCATATTCTGTGTTGTGGTCAGTTCACACTGATAGAAATGAATATTTTCCAATAAGTTTAAACTGATTTTTGCATTTTATGGGCATTTTTACCTTTATAAAGCCATTTTTTCTAGAAGTGTCCATTATCTTTTGAGTCAAATTCTTACATTTAATCAGGGAATTAGAATAAGACATTTGGGCTGTTACCAAGCAAATGAAATCAACACAGAAGCTGCATCTGAAGTGGCATATTGAAAGAAAACACACTAAATGCGCACACGCGCTAGTCTAAGCTTCACGTAATGTATGCGTGCGCTCTGTAGGGATGTTTTGAATGGTTTTTGCAAAATACTCGATAATGTCAAATCGCACATCGTTAAAACAACAATTACGATATTATCGCAGACGATATATATCGCACACCCCTATCTCACACTCACACACCACCCTCTCTCTCTCTCTCTCTCACACACACACACACTCTCTCACACACACACACACTCGCTCTCTCTCACACACATACACTCTCTCTCTCTCACACACACTCTCTCTCTCACACACACTCACAAACACACACACACACTCTCTATCTCACACACATACACACACACAAACACTCTCTCTCTCACACACACATACACTCTCTCTCTCTCACACACACACACACTCTCTCTCTCTCACACACA